GAAATAGAGCTCATCAAACAGTGTGTGGTAGGCGCCGAGAGACGCAGAGAAAGTGGGAGAGAGCGAGAGAGTGTGGAGACGCAGACAACGGAACGACAGAGAGAAATGCACTTTTTGTTCAATTTTTTGATAAAATTCGTCTTTTTTTTCACTTTTCCATGGATTTAGACCTAGTTTAGGCCTATTTTTAATCTATTTTCGGCCTATTTTAGCCCAAAAATTCTGAATTTTTAGAAAATTAAAAAAAATTTTTTTTTTTTGAAAAATTCTTTTTTTTTTCATTGTTAGGCCACTCTAGACTTTGAATTAAACTCATTTCCAGTCGATTTTAACCCATATTCAAGAGTTTTTTTTTTCAAAAATTCAATAAGTTCCTGCTTCGCGCGCTTTTTCAATAGAGCACGTTTGCTGAAAAACCGGTGATTTTAAGCCATTTTTAGGCCATTTTAAGTCATTTTTAGGCAAGAAAAAAAATTGATAAAAATCATATTCTTCATTTTCTATCAATTAAAAAATAGTAATTATACAAGTATCGTCATCCCTCGTCTTCCGACACCGATCGATTCTTTCCCTTGGCTCCTTTTGATTTGGATTTCTGAAAATTAAAACTAAAAAATTCGAAAAATTTGCAAAATTTGGACCTAGAAATATCACTTTTTCAGCAAAATCATGTTAAAATCAATTTTTTTGAAAATTCGAAAATTTGAAAAAATTGGAATTTCAGCGATTTCTAGTGGTTTCTAGGCCATGCTAAGCCAATTTTAAGCTATTTTAGGCTATTTTAGGCCCAATTTAAGCGATTTTAGCTTGTTTTTAGCGATTTTTAGGCTATTTTAAGCCCAATTTAAGCGATTATTGGCAGTTTAAGGTCCATTTTAAACTATTTTAAGCAATTTTAGGCTGTTTTAGGCTCATTTTTAATAAATTATAGGCTGTTTTAGGCAATTTACGACGATTTTATGCCCATTGCTAGCGATTTTAAGGCGATTTCAAGCGATTTTTGGGCTATGTTAGGCCCATTTTAAACGATTTTAAGCCATTTTAGACCATTTCAGGCCTGTTTTAGGCCCATTTTTAGCGATTTTAGGCTACTTAGCACGTTTTTAGCGATTTTTAGGCTATTTCAAGTTATTTATATTCGAATTTTGAGTCATTCCAAGTGATTTCATACGATTTTAGGCCTATTTTTAGGCTATTTTAGACCATTTCAGACCGATTT